CCATTATCGCCTCTTCGCTCTCTGTCTCTGTAAATTCCCACCACCGCCTAAGGAAGACGGAAGCGCGCTTTTATTTAAGCTCGTTGAGCAATCTCTGCGTTTTGTGCGCGTAGCGTTGTATCAAAGTAGAGGAGGTTGGTTTAGAAATTAGCGTCTCGGACCGGTTTAGTTAAATTAATTTTGAGAGCTGGTTTACTTTGGTACAAGTCAAATTGTAAAAATCAACAGTTTTTGACTTTTTGTTCTCCAAGTTCTGTGTTTTTAATAATCTTTTTTAGTTTATTATTATTTTAACTGTTTACAACAATACAGGAGAAATTATAAGAGAAAAGATGTGATCTTTTTCTATTTATGTATAAACGTAAAAAAGTTTTTTTTTTTTTTTGTGTGGAGAAAACATGATCATTCTCAATATTTGCTTTTTTCTATATATGATGAGAACAAGAAAGTAAAAACTACATCGAAGCAAAATTGTTCTACACACTTGCGATGAAACTCGCAACTCTTATGTCTCATGAGCTTTCTTTGGAAAAATTGAGGCTGCTCTGTCTAACTTTCTTCGAGGTTCCTGATAAAGAACCAAAACATGTCTGCATAAATAACGCTTTCTACAAAAGATGATTCTTTAGACTTGAATAATATGATTTTTGCAAGAGAGAAGAAGAATGGATAAGCACCATTTTTTTCTCTGGCTTATGCTAACTCGAATCAACGACAGTAGATTTACTGTCCTCGAACTTGGTTTCTTCCATATTCTTTTGTCTTTTGTAACATGAAGGCTGCAGAAACTCAGTCAAATGTAGTGTAAAATAATCAGTGGTGATCACAAATAAACAGTTTTGAAATATAAGCATGCACATTTGAGGGGAATTGTTCAATCTAGAAACGGATCGATTTTGTTCAAGTTAGTTTATGATGAGCCAAGTACCTCATCATCAGATGAATCATCATGCCTCCTCTTTTTGGGTAACACATCAAGCAAACCTGTAAAACAATTATGCACAGTAGTGTTTTTTGGCACTGAATCAGATTAAACAAGATAGGTTGGACAATAATAAACCAACCAATTCGGCTTGAGTCCAAATGATAGACCATACCTGAACTTCCACTAATTTCCTTATAATCTTTCTTTTCCTTTGTTACACCAAAAAATTCAAAGCAAAGGTCCATCATGGAGGTCAAGACCTGTTTGATCAACGCAGTTCCGAATTACTACTTTGAAGATTGAGTCACTCGTTAGAGAAACTAGTGGTTATATACTAGTATTAGTGAAACAAAAATTGCCACTCACACATGAAAATTCAGATTCTGATGTCCCACAAACTTCAATCAACCTATGTTTGTCTACCTTGAGCTGCAAAATCAATATCAAAGTTAAAGAATCCAGAAACTCGAACAATAATAACCTAGACATCCTTTAATCAAATATTACAATGCAGTACCTTCTGTTTTTTAGCACACAAATAGAAAGCAGCAACAGTAAATACAGGTCTAGTGAAATCCGCATTTGCTCGTCTTGATACCGGCAGAGACGCAAGAAACCTCTCCTTATACCTAACAAAAAAAGAAAAACAATAATCAAGTATTAGATTTAAACATATAACAAGAATGCAGCCTAACCAAAAACATGGTCTGAAATTTAATTGAGGAATTTTAACGAACACATGGCGGGCAATATCTTTTGATACATAAACATCAAGTAAGACAGAAATGGATCTTACGCTGATAGACTTTTCTGCACAGTTGCAATCATTCTAACGCAGCCAAATTGAATCGCCAATTCTTTTACATTAAGCTTAATCCTGAAACGCCCAAAACGTTCAATCAACAAAACTCCACAGAATCAGATTCATCTTCAAAATTTCTTCAAAAAGAGCCATCGAAATTGAAAACTCACTTGACACCAACACCATTTTGAAGAGTGTTAAACGATCTTGAATAAGCCCTTTCCGACAAACCACTAAGCTTAATCGCAGCTTGTCTATCAAAAATAACTTGAAGTCTGCAACAAAATTACCAAATCGATTAAGACATAGCAAATCACCCAATAAACAATTCACAACAACAAAAATCGATAAATCTCATTTACCTTGATGCAGCGATCTCAAGACATATAACAGCTTTACAGATCTCACCCTACGAATCAATACCAAAAAACAAAAAACAAAAAACTCGCAATTTCAAATCAAAACTATAGTGATGTTTAGAGTTTAGATTCAGATGATAAAAGAGTTTCTCTCTTACGACGCCGATGATTGAGGAATCAAATTGGACATCGATTAAACGGCGAAATTCTGCAGCTTTACGGAGAAGAAGCTTGTTATCAGCGACATCAAGCTTCTTCGCAATATTTGAAAGATCCATTTTATCAAGAATCTGGAAGAATTTTAGAGAATTGAAAGAGTAAACTTGTGAATTGTGTCGATAAGATTGAGAAGAATGAGTAATAAAAAAAAAATAGATAGAAGTTTTCATTTTTTTTTTTCCGCGGCTCCAAATCTAGGCGCCTCTTATTTCCCGCCCCTTTGATTTTTTGTTTTCTTCTTCTTTAAAAAGGCTTATAGGCCTACCCGTTGGATTATTATTAAAAGCCCATTAAGCCCATTTTAACAGATTTTGATTTAGCTTAAAAACAAAGCTAACGAAGAAGCTTCTTCTCCTTGAAAACAACGCTACTTAGTTTGGTTTAAATAGGTGGTTTGGTCTCATCAAAATCAAAATTCTTTTCTGCAATCTGTAATCTGTAATCTTTCTCTTTGTTCGTCTACACATCAACTGGTATTATCGGTTTCTTTGTAGGAGTCTTTCTTTGTGTGATTTGAATCTAGTGGTGAGATTGTCTAATCTGTGGAGGATTTTTTTTTTTTTTTTAATGTAGCAGACGAACATGTCCGGTGAGTTTTGTCCGGTGAGGCCTTTGTTCGGCGGCGCAATTTCAACTGCCTTCCCGCAAAGATTTCAGGTGTTCTTTCAACAAATCTTTTGTTTTTCGTTGCTAATTAGTCGTGTTCTGTCTTTAACTGGTTCATGTTGTAAACTTTTTAAGGATGTGAGTAATGTCCGACAAGTTCCAGATCATCAGGTTAGGATC